TTGACAAGCGTGGGTACACCAGGAAACCAAGAGAGCAAACGACACGCATCCGAATCGCTGCAACCACCGCCCCCCAAGAAGCAAAACGGAACTCGCGAGAACGCCCCAGGAAGTTCCCGCCCCCTCCAGGCCGTAGAGTCTGCGGCGCCGACCCCGAATATGGATGCTGCGCAAGTTGAGGCCACGGATGGGAGCAGCCTGGTAAAGCTACTTCAAACGCAGATCGCAAACATCCAGAATGAATCCGCAATTCCGCGCTCGGAGGAGGACGCCCACACTGTAATACAGGCCAAGCTCGCTGACCTTTACAAGACAAATCTGCTGACGAAGGTGGAAGGGATGAGGAAAAAGGATCCTAGGTACAAAGCTCTTCTGAAGAAGGATGGCGACAACGACGAGGATGAGGATCTCGATGAAGTCTTCGGCCAGCTAAGCGCATATGACAAAAAAGAGAAGATGTACTACGACAAGATGGAGGCAGCGGGGTACAAATTCACCCTGGACACCACTCAAGGCAATGAAACTGCAGGGCGATGGAACCGCGCGAAGGAAGCAAGCAAGACGATCCAGGAGGAATACAAGCAGGAGAAAGGCTGGAAGGCACAGAAGGAACACAGGGCTAGGTGGGCAAAAAAATGCCACTTAGATTGGAAGAAGGATGTGAAAATTGAGAAGGGTGAGAACATGGAGAAAGAGGAGGCTGCTCTGGGGGAATATTGCACGCTTGGACGGATCGCGTGGCTAAAGGGGGGTGGGCCAACTGGCCTAGCCATTGCAATTAAATATTGCACTAGTTGTGCGATCATGGGCGGGATCTACACAAGATACTGTGATCTGGGAGGCATCCTTGAATTTCTCCTCGTGCGTCACCAACTGAACGACAGATTCACGAGAAGGTGGACTCGCACTGAGAAGTGGTTGGGCGAAACGGCTCTTGAGGATGGGGCGGCGGCGGCCAGCAGAGAGAGAGGCGCAGACGACGACGAAGAAGAGGAACCACCGTCTAAGAGGAGAAAGATCGAGGATCAGGAAGAGGAGGGCGCAGCGGGCCCCGACGAAGAGGGCGACAAACCAAAGAAAGACAAGAAGGATAAAGACACTGCGGACAACGAGCAGAAGACTAAAGACAGTGAGAAAGGCAAGAAGACCAAAGAGGCTGGCAAAGAAAAAGACAAAGACGGTGGCAAATCAAAAGGCGGCGTCGAGGAGAAAGACTGTGGCAAGGCGCCTAAAGAGCCTAAAAAAAAACACCAGAGCGGCTGACCAAGTTCAGAGCCGCGAAGCAGGCATACACGCAGGCCCTTGGTGAGGTATCCAAGGTGGAGGCTCTCATTAAGACCGGCAAGTCCTGCGAGAAGCTGAATAACCTGAGGAAGCCGATGGACGACCAGCTGAATAAGGCGCCTTGATTGGCGTGCCGATCGTCCATGGGCTTCCCATAGCTCGTCAGCTTCTCGCGCCCGCCCCTCCTGCCATTAATTCGGGAATTTGATACCTCGAAGCTGCCTGTCCACCTCCACCGTTCAGCTCGTCCGCCGCGCGTGCACCCTGGAGTTCTTCGGACCCCTCGCCCCGCATCCTGAGCCCGTGGGCGTGTTAAAATCATCTTCTTGTCGTCTGATTCTCTTCCTTGGCCCCCCTCCTTCTGCTCACCTCTCCTTACAAGGTATCCTATCTCATGGTGCTCCCCGCCCTCCGTCCGTGCCCAGGTGCAGAGCCTGTTTGCCAGCGAGAGCCTGCAGAAGATGATGGTCACGGATGAGGCCTCGCACAAGAAGCAGGCGCGGCTGGATGAGCATTCGAAGAGGGACGAGGCGGGGATGTGAGGATTTGGGGAAACCGATTGGAGGGTGTAGATTTTGAGAGGGGCCATTTCGCCATGACTCCCAGAGCCCAGGACAACGGTTTCGGGTTTAGACGCCCCCCCCCCCCCGAAAAAAAGCGGCCTCCAGGTGACTGCAGCTGAGTTTGAGACACAGTGTGGCAAGGTGGCGGGCTGGAAGAAAGACATCGAAGAGCTTCTCCTGGAAGCAAGGGTTCTAGTCCGCCAGGCTTGGGCGAGAGACGAAGAGGAGATGCGTCTGCGCGAAGCTGCGAAGCCCAAGGGATCGAGCGGCAAGAAGACTGCGATCAAGAAGGACAAGAAAGAGAAGCAGAAGAAAAGTGAGAGCCCGAGCGACTCGGACTAGGAGGCCGAGGAGAGGAGAGGCGCTGACGGCAGGAAGCCCCAGGAGAGGCGCAGGCGGAAGCTCGAAGAGAGGCGCCGCAGGCAGAAAGCCCGAGGAGAGACGCTGGCGGCGGGAAGCCTGAGGAAGGCTGCTCGAGGCAGGAGGCCTGGAGCGCAGGAGGCTTGCGGAGGAGCGAGGAATTGAGGAGGGGTTCTGGAAAATGGGATCCGATCCAGGGCCGATCCAGGAAAAACCTGATCCGACGTGGTTTTCACCGAAAATTCCATCCGCCCAGCCGCCCATGTACCGGAGGAATTACGTAGGAATGTCGGGCGGAGGGAATGCGTAGGAAAGAGGAGGAAACCATATATATATATATGTAAAAAAACGACAACGTAGGAGAAACATGTACCGGAGGAGTTGCGAAGGAGTTGCGTAGGAGTTTGGGGGGCCTCTTTGGGGAGAGGGGATTTCTGGCGGGGAAGCGTTCGCGAGCGGCCCGATTGGGCCCCAGCCGAAAATTCAAACCTTCGACGGCTGTGACTCGTGCCAGGCGCTGAGGCTGCATCTGCTGAGGAGGGAGGAGAGCCAGGCGGCGGGAGGCACGCGAGCGCGAGGCAGCCGAGCACTGAGCATTCCCTGCTGTGGACGGGGCCGCATGGGACAGTGCGAGCGGGTGCCCAGGAAAATGAGAAGGCAGATCGTAGAACGTAGAGCTTCGGAGAGTGGGCGTGGGGCCCATGCGAGGGAGGAGGGCGGGAGGAGCAGTGATGGGAGGGGGAGGGGGGGGAGAGGAGGAGGAGGGGGGGGAGGAGAGGAGGGGGAAGAGAGGAGGAGAGGAGGTTGAGATGCCAGAGAGAGGGAGAGAGAGAGAGAGAGAGAGAGAGAGAGAGAGAGAGAGACGAGCGTTTGTATTTGCAGCAGCAACGTTGGCTCAATCTAAGATGGCGCCCAAAAAAAAGCAATGGCGCCGCCGCTCGAAGGCAGCCCGAGGAGTGCCAAAAAGGCAGTACATACGCAATGAGGCTGGAGAGGAGATGCGGCTTGCTGGAAGCAAGGCTTTTGAGATCCTGCTAACTGTATGGGCCTCGTGCAAAAAGATATCAGCTAAAGACTTTTGTGTTGTCTGTGGTTACCTAGCCCAATGCAATGTGCCAGGATGAAGATGGTCAGCTTTCGGTCTTCCGCCCGATCTTGAATCGGGCAGATACAAAAAAGAGATGGACAAACACTTGCCCAGCGGAGGGCCATTCTACGCTGCTCGAGTGCCAGCGTTCCTGAGCAAGGCTTCGCATGAATGCAGCAAGACGGTCCTATTTAGGCAGGTCTTCCACTCAATCGCAGCAGAAGTCGAGGAGAATAAAGACATTCAAGAATCGTTGAGGTACGGTGACACGGGCGATTACAGCAGTTTCATGTCCAATAGGGTGTACCAAGAACACCCCCACGTCCAGGAGTGCCTACAGGAGGGAGGAGGTTACCCACTGCCTTTGGCAGTGTACATGGATGGTGTAAGGTACACGGCGCAGACGGCTGGTCGAAACGAGCTCTCGACTGCGTCAGCTCCGCCGCCCCCTCACCCACCCGCCCCTCGCCCCTTCACAAGTACACGCGAACAACACATACAACCATTCGGCGTTAGCGAGGGGGGGATAACCATGCAGCTCACGCGCCAGGGTGCTTTGTAAATTCAGAGGGAGGGCAGCATCTTGGACGTTTCAATAATAAATATGATATCAAAAAAGAGACATCAACTCGGCTTCATGAAGGTGAGCGAAATGTGCGGTGTGGTTGTGGCGGGCACTGCTCCATATACTCTATGATGCAGGTTGCGTCCTTCCAGCTGCAATGCCTCATAAAGGGCTCGGTGCCAGACAAGAAACACGACGGGTCAGACTGGGAAGCATGGGAGAAACCCACCACGCAATTTTCGTTCAGGAGCGTTGTCGTGCTGCTGAAAGGCGACTGGGCAGAATTCGCCAAATCCATGGGCCTAACTGGGTGGGGGTGCGTGCACGACTGCTGTCCGATATGCCCATGTTCTAAGGATGGGCTGCCGATCGTGGACGGCGAGTTTTTGAACAACTGCGGTTTGCTGTGGGAAGATAGATCTGAGGAGGAGTACGAAGAAACGTGTAAATCCTTCGAGCACGAAGTAGTTGTGGGTACAGAAGAAACGCGCAGGAAGCTGTGGGCATTGCTGGTGCCAGTGAAGAACAAAGGCCTCCTGTTGAAAGCCGATTGTCCGCCCTTAGGCTTGCTGGAAGGTGACCGTCTTGAGCCGTCTCCTGAATGCCTGATACCTCTCGAGTTTCACAAGGTACCCTTGCCCTTCAAAGCTGTGTTCTGGCGACCGAGATGCGATTGCCTGGGGCGGAAACTAGGCTCAGTTACTCACAGGTCCCCCCTGTTCAGCGCGGCGCTCGGGACATCGCCAGCGCGGTCGCTCGCGCTAGACACGTTGCACACGGTGCACCTTGGATGCATGCAGAGGTATGTCAGCGCCGTCTTGCGCAGACTCACGTTTGCAAATCCTTGGGGTGCGCCGCGATCAACGGTTTGGAACCGACTTGAGGCAGAACTCATGACATATTATGAGGAGGAGGAGGTGCCGCATGAAAATAGGATCGGAACGCTGAACGAGAAGATGTTTCCAGGAGAGGAGTGCGCCTGCTTTGGAGGAGGAATTTGCAAGTTGAAAGGTTCGGAAACCTTCCAGATTCTGAAGTTCGCAGTCAACAAGTTGAAGTATCATGTAGGATCGGGCTGCGAAGTCCCGCATGGAAAGGAGCTCGTTGGAGCAGGTGAGGCCCTGCTTACTTGGATGCGGGTTTACCACTCCGCGAAGTCTAAGCCGACAGTGTCGGAGTACCAAGTGTTGCGCGAGAGTTGCGTCGTTTTCCTGGTGAACTGCGACCTCGCTAAGATCCACTTCGCTCCGAAGTTCCACCTCTTCGGGCACCTGACGAAAAGGAGCATGGGGTTAAAAACTTGAACCACTGGAAGCATTATAAGGAGGAGAAGGGGGGGATGAGGAGGAGGAGGAGGAGGAGGAGGAGGAGGAGGAGGAGGAGGGGGAGGGGGAGGAGGAGGAGGAGGAGGAGGAGGAGGAGGACGGGTCAGGGAACGGGAAAGATGCTAAGGATGAACAGGGAAGGGGGGCATGAGAAATGAAGGGGGGGGTTCTTGTGCACCCCTAGGAGCGAATGCATGGGGTCGCCTTCAGAGTACGACACTTTCGTGGATGAGTCTCTAAACTATCTTTTGAGGCTGTGCGCAGAACGGTCCCACAGGGCCACCATGGAGAAATCAGTGTTCCAATGTTTCGAGGTCCTCGGCCGCATGAACACAGTCACCCACTTGCACGGTAACATCCAGGATGGCGACCCCAGAACCAGGAATTCGCCGGCCCAACGGGCCAGGGCGTGCTAAGATCTCCGGTACCTGGTTAACAGTATTTCTAG